AAGTGATTGACTTTAGTCTAAAAAATTGACACAATACCTCTCTGGTGTTGCATGTTCTATGTAATAAGCTTTAGTAAGATACTTACCATTTTTTGTAGCAGCAACGTTTGAAAATGCTCCCTTTTTGAAATTTTTGCCCTGTTTATTTATTTATTTATATATATATTTATATATATATATATATATATATATAAACATTTTTTTTTGTGTGTGGGATGTGGGGGGGTGGGAGGGAGAGAAAGGATCCTTTAGTTAAACAACCACACTCCCCATAAACTCCACACTTAACACTCCTGCATATTCAGATGATAGTTCAGCAAGGTGTATTTTTAAAACACACTGGCTAAAAAGTTAATGAACATTTAAAAAACAAAACAAAATAACATTGTGTAGCTAGGAGAATATGTGAATTGGTCAAGGTGAATCTCTAGAGAGGCTGATAGGCTTGTAGAGAAGGCCAGGAGAGTTGTGGGTCTCTGACAACCAGGCCTTTAACCTGCATCTCTGCTACAGAGACATCTCTGCTGAAACCTCCTGTGATTTCTCAGAGGTCAGCCTTGGTCTGGCAGGCCTGTGGTAGCCCTTTGGGCTGGGACTCAGCTACTTTCTCCCTTCCCCAGTCTTCTTGTCTTTTGCCAAGCATGTAACTCCTATTTTTTTCTGACACCATCTGAGTTAGCATTTTATCCTGTTTTTACTTTTTTCAACAAATTATTTTTCAAATCAGTGCTTCCAAATTGCTGATGACCCTTCAGAAAAGATAATAGCTATTGGGTGATGTCTTTATACAGAACATGGTATCAAAAATCCTGATTAATTGTGTCGCTGCACAATAAATAGTCAACAATACATTTTTGTAACTAAGACAAATTATGGTTTGACCACGTAATTAGTCTCCCATTGAGTAATTATTGGTGTGCGGGGAATCCTTTTCTTTTTTCTAATCATTGACTAAGTTTGTTTTATTAAAACACTTGGGCACTATTGAAGGCTTGGCAAGAATTTCTGTAATCTGACTACAAGCATGTTCAGATATAATATAATACTTTCTCTCTCTTTTCACAAGATTCAACTGTACATACAATCGCCTGAATATACATGCAAAGAATTGGGAATGCAAGTGGTGAATAATCACAAAAGGCTAGATTCTTCCATCCTTGCTCACAGTGAGTAGCACCCTTACTCCTCCACAAGTTGTGTGGTCATACCTCACTCTTCTTGTTTTCGACTTGCCAGGAATCAAAGCGGAATAACTGGGCCCATAGGATGTGTAGTGTATTAGAGCCTTTTCCTGAATTGAACTTTATTTTGATTATGTAGGCCTGATTCTGTCATCCTTGTGTTCACTGAAAAGTAGCTTATTCCTCAAGAAATCCAATTTGAAGTTAATGGGACAACTTGCAGGATAAAGTACTACTCAGTATGTGGAAGGGTGGTACTTACAGTTAGGACCCTGATTCAATATAGCACTTCACCACATGCTGAAGTCCCACTGAAGTAAAGCACGGGTGTAAGTGCTTTGCTGAAGCAAGGCTAAAATCTATAGAACCAGATTCTGATACCCTCACTTACATGAGGTAGTACCTTTATGTCCAGCTCCTCAAAGATATTTAGGTGCCTAACTTTCCATTGACTTCAAATACCTTTGAGGATCTGGGTCTTACTCCAGGTTAGTCCTGTTGACTTCAGCAGGGCTATTTCAGGAATAAGTAGGGTGACCAGATAGCAAGTGTGAAAAATTGGGACAGGGGTTGGGGGGCAATAGGTAAGAGCCCCCAAAATCGGGACTGTCCCTATAAAATCGGGACATCTGGTCACCCTAGGAATAAGGAACTAATCAACATGAGTAGGGGTGTCAGAACCTGGCCAGTATTCAGACCCTGAAATAAAAGTGGCTTGATTTCCAGAGGTGTATGCCCACTTTTATTTAGGTGACTACTATCGACGTAGAAGCCTATCTTTAAACACACAGGTTTGTAAGTTGGAGCCTCTGTTTTTTAGTATCAGAGGGGTAGCCGTGTTAGTCTGAATCTGTAAAAAGCAACAGAGGGTCCTGTGGCACCTTTAAGACTAACAGAAGTATTGGGAGCATAAGCTTTCGTGGGTAAGAACCTCACTTCTTCAGATGCAAGTAATGGAAATCTCCAGAGGCAGGTATAAATCAGTATGGAGATAACGAGGTTAGTTCTGTTTTTTAGTCACCCAAGCTCCACTATCAGTCTTTAGTAAATTTGTTGTGCAATACAGCTTTATAATTGATAATGTCTTTAATACCAAATGTATACCACAGCACTTATACAGAGTTCATTATAACTACCCACCCTGATGTGTGAGGTATAAAAATTAAATAAAAGAAAAGGATACATTTTTGGATTGAAAAATCATGGAACATTTTCTATCCATATTAGTGTAAAATGCCAGCTGACACCAAAATTAAATTTGGAACCAACTAAATTGGCAGTGTCCTTTTGCTTTACCTGTCTTGACGCAATTGCAAAGCCTTTCAGTAAAAGGAATGAAAGGTTCTTTACTTTCACTGTAGCATCTGTAAAAGAGTGCTGTAGCCTCTGCTGAAATGCTGTTTGGTTAATTCCTACAATACTCCTCCTTAGTGAATCCCAAGAGAGATTCCTATGTTGTACATAGACACTTAGGTCACTATTTTTCCTTTCTCTGTTAGTAGAGGCACACCAATTATTAAAATGAATATATCGGAAGGTTAATAATGGGAAACAGAACCTCGGTTGGTAGTAGCCAAAATTTGATTCCATTTAATGGCTTCTTGGTGGTATATGTGAAATGAGTTGGTCTCAGTTCTCCTAGTGCACAGCTACCCAGATCACAAAATCCAAGGCTATAGTTGACTGTAACTTCACTTTAATAAAGAAGCCAAGGGCTGAATGACTATGGTGACAGCGTATGCCTGTCCTCTTACTCTCTTGTATTTGTTTCTAGTTTAAAATAGGTTAGCCTTACTTACCAAGCACTGCAATGGTAACATGGCAAGAGATGGAAGCTTTAGCAGCCAGCTTTGTTTTAATGACCTGGAGCCAGTCTAATGTTCTACTGTAATGAGCTGTTTCAGCTGTCTCTACTAATGCTACAGGATAACAATGAGGTGCAGATACCATGGAGATGGGTGCAGTATAAATATTCAAATGGAAAAGACTGCACTTCTCACAGGTATGATGAATGCTGGTATTACAGCAAACTGTTCTCCACAGACACTGTAGTCACAAGTGTTGCTCCAGCATATTTGGTTCCAGCTATGTAATTTCTCACCTTCACATGTTTCTTGGAAGTACCAGCAACCCTGTGTCTCTTACAGAAAGCAGAGCATAGTTTCTAATTTTCTATTGTCTTCTGGCATTCAGGCAGTGGCAGAAGGGAGAAAATGAGTTGTACTTTCCACCCATTTTGGGATTGAACATCTGTAATTGTGCACCCTGAGCTCTGCTTCAAGCTACACTTGTAAATCTCAGGTCATTCTGTAGTGGAGGGTTTTGTTTCAGTCTTCAGAAGCATCTCACTTGAAGCACTTCCACAGTTTGTGGCAATCCTTTAAGAAACTACAACAGGACTAATATTTTTTTGGCTGACTTCTTTGCTGCTGCCAAGTCCTGATTTGAAATGGAGGGCATCCTCATCATCATCATCATACAGGCTGACTTTTCTTGGGCCTCCCACTGATTTCACAGTAGCCAGGATTTCACCCCGGACTTGTTCATACATCTGTGGAATCGCTGTTTTTAGCCACATAACTCAATCATAAGTCAATGAGTTTCACAGATCATGCATTGAATTGTTGGTTTTCAGTGGCACTTTATAAGCCAGACTCTGCTCAATTACCTAATTCATCATTATCGAACCATTATTGAATGTAATTGATGTGAAGTGCCTAAGTGCTTTGTTATCCAACACATTAGGAAATGATTGGGGTTGTGTTGATCTCCACAGTAAATGAGGCTTTCATCCTGTATAAATACTCTTTGTCTACCACAGGAAACCTGACTCTTCAATTGATTGTCTCTGTCCAAATTTCTAAACTGGTGACCGAAGAATACCTTCGGATTTCCCTTTGCTGAGAACAGTTGCAACCTGACTGCTTTTACCTCCGGGCTTGTGGGCAGCAGAGAAATGGGTTGTCTGCTTTCTGGCAGATTCTGTGATATTCACACAGAACCACAGACACGGATAGCTCTGCAGTCTAGTGCTGGAGCCAATATATTCCCCTTGGGACAAAACCACTTAATTACCAGCTTCAGTTTTCTTTGGAAGAAATCTCTGATTCTGACTACTTTACCTGTCATTTCATGCTTTTTGCTGCATGGATTCTTCCTTTGTGGATTTGTTTGCACTTCTCCATAGACTTCATCAGCTTGCCATCTTCAGGAAGAAATTAAAACAAGCCTCTAGTCTGGTCAGGGCTCTGGCATGAGATGAGACTGTCTACTGCAGGTCATCTGCTCTAAGTACTCATTGCCTTTTTTTCCATACTGGTTACTCGGGGGCAAATTGTCTGAGATGATTGCCTTGCTTGGAATCTGTTGCATTCTGAGCGTATGCCTTTGTTTTCATCCAGAATAAGCACGTGTTTGTTTTTGTTTATTTTTTAAACCAGAGATACCAGGACATTTATGCTCTGTCCTGACATAGACATCTTAGTCAAATTCTGCAGAGCCTGTCAACCCCAGTGGCAAATGTTTGGGGCCCCAAATTCCTCCAAATTGCCACCATACCTAACTCAAGTTCTGGGGAATTTGTCTACATACGCTCAAATACCTGCTCACTGACTGACATCCCCCCCCCACCCCAATCCCTAAATGTCCTAGAGTTATTCCAGTTTAGGCCATAAAGTCTCAGGTCATGATGAGGATCCTAGATGATCTGTTAACTTGATGGCATGCATCACATACTGTTACAGACAGTGGTCCCAATTTACTGCCTGTCATTTCCGGCATTTCACCTCGTTCACCCACTTCTTCTTCCATCACCAGGCCGACCGAGGAGTTGAGAGGTTTAACTGAACCCATAAAGAAGGATTGACTTTGCATCTGAGCCACAGACTAACCCCTTCTATTTGGCACTTCACTGACCCTTCTCTACTACCATAAGGCTATGCATACTACTACCATGCATTCTCTTGCCTCCTTCATGCTTGGAAGGGAATTTAACTGCCCCATTCTTAAGTTGCCTTGGCATGGGCAGGACTGCTAAAAGGGTATTATTTTTATGCATGCATAATCAAATTCCCCAAAGTGTTTAATTACAGGGGCCAAGTTAGCATACTATACAGGGAGCGGAAACTGGCTTCATACTGGTTTGGGCCTTTGAAGGTCTAGCAGTGTTTCTACTGAGTGACCACACTAGATGATACACAACTTGTATGCAAGTAATTCCTGATCTGCTGGCCACAGCACCATTCACTCTGTCAGCTGAAAGCTTGATGCTAAGGACACTTGGGTGAGTCCTTGCAGAACTCCCACAGGCACTGAAAGGCCCTGATTGGGCATCACTCGCCACTTTCAAACCTGTTACAGAGGACTTCATACACTCTTCTTGGGCTCAGACAAGACCAGCTCTATTTCAGGACTATACAATGATGACACCTGAAAACCAGGACATTGGACTCTACCAAGAGTAACAAAATTGTTTATCTTTGTTGTTGGTTTAAAATAATGGTTAGTGTGCCTTTAATTCTCAAGCCGTGCAAAGTTCATATGAACAAGATGTGGAAGTTTCAACAGCCACTTTTATTTTAGTAACTAGTAAACATTTAAATAGCATATCTCAGTGCCCATCTCTTTCCCAATGCTATAGTTCCCCAGGTCAGGATTAAGGCATGTGGGCAGGGAAGACTGTTTGTCACTGTCTATGCGGTACCATTTAATTAGAATAAATAGAAAACTTTAATCTCTGGGGTGTCATTTTAGTTATTCTTAAATTTGCCTTAAAATTGTATTATAACATCACAAAAATATTCTGAAACACCAGTCTTCCCAGCACTGATAATAGCCCAGTACTTTCCTAGCCTTTATATGTAACGGTACCTGCAGTCCTTTTAAAAACAAATATTCTGCTGTTCAGTAACATTTAATTTCCATGGCAGCTTATGCATCTTGTGCTGCTGAAAGCTGTGAGATACAGACCGCTTTCTTAAAAGAAC